CTGGCCTCCTGGTACTTCCATCGAAACGACGAGCAAAATCGAGTGAATCTACCGCTGCAACATGGAAATATACACCGCCACATTCGTGTGTGTGTGTGTGTGTGTGTGTGTGAGAGAGAGAGAGAGAGAGAGAGAGAGAGGAAACCGTGTGAGAGAGAGAAGAAACCGTGTGCTGACACTATCGGACCGAAGAAACCGCCCTTATCAACGGGGAACATGAATCCGGAAGCGGGGCGACATGCACAAAGGACAAAAAATATGGCGGTGTATCTTTCCATGTTTTGGCGGAAGATTCATTCATACGTTGGGTGGTGGAGAACGAAGGGCCGATGAATCCGGTAAGCACGTAACCTATCTCTGGAAACTTTTTTTTTTTTTTTTGGAGAATCTCTGAACAAATGAGACTGAATCCTCCGCTTGAACATGGAAAGATACATTGCCATATATGGGCCTCGCTGCACTACTCTGGAAATCTGCAAAACGAGAGTGAATCTTGCGTTAGAATATGGAAAGATACACCGCCAATATTTTTGTCTTTTGTGCGTGTTGAGAGTAGTGCAGCGAGGCCCTATGTCTTGTTGTGCACGTCGAGAGTTGTGCAGTGAGCCCGTTGGTGAACATTACCGTTGAGGTTCTGACAGGTTGGACGCGCCGGGCTTCACTCGTGCAAAGAGCTGTTCTTCGTTTACGTTTTTTTCCTTTCATTAAAAAAAAAAAAACCAGGAAAAACGGCTGCCAGTTCCGTCGTTTTCTACTTCAGAAGTACTACGAAGAGAACGTTTTGAGAGATCGCGACCCTCATCATGACTGAATCTGGCCTGCAAGAACCCTACCATACAGACTCCAAGTACCGTTGAGGTTCTGACAGGTTGGACGTGCCGGGCTTCACTCATGCAAAGAAATTCTGATGTTCTTCCTTAAAAAAAAAAATTCAGTTCCGGGGCCCCGCGCGGCCTCAAATTATTGTTGTTGTTTTTTTTTGTTACTTGACGCGACATCCCACTTGAGCCTACAACACCCCTCCCCAACTTTTTTTTTTTTGGCCGACCCCTTATTTTCGAGGTGCGCCGCATCCCATGCGCGCGCGTCGTGCGCGGTGCGCAGTGCGGCGCACGTGCGGGATGCCGCGCACCTCGATGCGCCGCAAGTATGGTGCAGATATGTGTTTGTTAAGTTTCTGAGGAGCAAAAGGGGCTTGCTGTTTGCGTCAGTGCATTTCCACTGGTATGCAAGAACCTCTGGTTTTGCAGCTGAACACAAGTGTGAGCCGAATTTGTAAATAACTCATGTTTTGTGTTGTGCAGTACGACTTTCAGTTTTCCCATTGTTATTTTAGAAATTCTTCGTTTGTCCTTCCCTTGAATTTTTGGAAAACGGCCTCAGGACTTTTCCGCAATGGTGCAGCCAAACCCTGCTTGCAACTAGACACCAGGCTGAAAATGGCCACATTGGTAGGCCTCAATCGACCAAGGGTACTGGTACTTCCGGGTGCCTGCGAAACGGCAGGGAAGGGCCAAGGAAAATATCAGGAACATATGAGAAAATTGGTGGAGAAGCTGCATGGTATGGGCCTTGGAGAATCGCGGGGCAGACTTGAGGAGAAACAACCGGCCCAAGCCTGTGACTTGGACCGGGCCTAGAAGGCCGAAGAATTGGCTGGTCAGCATTCTGTAGCAGCCAGCCACTGGTCCAGTCAAAGCATCATTCGGTGGAAGGTCATAAGGCTGCCTTAGCGCTGACTGGAGGAAGTCACTCTAACCGTTGGAGCGCTGATTACTTGGGGAACTTATGGACAGGTGCAGGTAGCCAGGCTATGGTGTACAGGCTCTACAAGAAGGACCAGTGCGGCTTCGCCTGTATGGCATAGTAGGTCAGTGCCTGATCACATAACTCTAACATACGAGGACATTGAATCAGTCTTTCAAGAAATGACACGCTCATGCATATCTACATTTAGTTATGCATCCAAAAAAAATGAATCCCATAATCCACACTTTTAGAGAGAGAGAGCACATGCCCACCTACAAAATGAAGCTTCTACGTGCACCCTTACCCAAAACTTGAAGCTTCTACACACGCACCCAAACGACTTTTCTCTGACACCTCTGACACAGTTTCTCTTCGACACCTGACACAAATTATTGTCGGACACGTCTGACAATCTGACACAAATTATCACACGGTCCACATTCCACCTGCACAATTTTTTGGATCTATGGCTCCCACACATCCACCTGTCCAACATTTCCAAGGCCAGTTGTCAACAGAGACACACAGTATTTCTCACTCTCTGACCATACTCCCAACAACCAATCACAAGAAGACACCTGCAAGGATAACAATAGGATTTACACTGATGATGAGCCAACTCGAACCAATTATCGTTACAGAGTTTGTTTCAGTATCTCGCCACCCGCAGAACTCCACACTCCACTCTCTACCCTACACCCAGCTAGTAGCGCAACACTGAGAAGGCCTCCCAGAGGCCAGCGCCAACCGCCCAGATGAAGAACAGGTCCGGGGATGAAGTCTTCAGTGCCGATGAACAACTCTGACGAGGAAACAAGCAGCTACGGCTCCCGCACCACTGACCCAGCCCTAATATCTCCAGACGCGAGATGGCCGACAGTGGTCCACCCACAAACACTCAGTGAAGAGCCTCGCAATAGCCCAGCCAATCGCAGATACCCTCAGGGGTAGATGCTCAGAGGATGCCCCAGCTATGGCTAGCTCCAGTCGGCTGGCTATGGCTGCTGTCCACGACGAGGGTCTCAGGGTACCGCCTGTAGACAATCGCCTCCCCCAAACTTGATTGGCTCCAAACGCTGCGTCACGAATATGAAAAGCCAAAAGTCCCCACACTACAGGCTCAGTCCT